AGCATGCTTGGAGAGCCCATGCTGGGAGAGCCACCTTCCTTTAGGGTTCTCACCGGGGACGCTAGGTAGTCAGTGTGGGTCAGGCTCACAGCAGATGCCTGCTGCCTTGGGGATGCAGTGAGTACTGGGACAAGACACAGCTCCCCGTAGCTCCCAGGCTTGTAGGAAAGAAGACAGGCAAGACTGTGCATGCTGCTGGCCTCCCTGAGACAGACGAGAGACCGGAGGAGCTCCAGACGGAAGGGCAGTTCTGTTGTGAGACAAAGAAGGCCTCACAGTGCAGGTGCCAGCAAAACTTAGACCGTAGACAGGGAGGGCACGTTGTTCAGTTGCCTCAAGTGTCTGGCCAGGATGAGGCTAGACAGATCTACTGCCTAGATCCCACTGCATACCATGGAGGGGGTACATCCAGTGGGCAAAGGGAGCCAGTGAGGGCTCTGGATCTAGGGAATGGCAAAACCAGAGCTTAGTCTTGGGGAATATTGGGTGACTTTACTCTGGGTTATAGCAGGCTGGGGTGGGCAGCCCTGGGATGGGGTCCCAGGGCACTTGACTCTGGAACAGGACCTAAGCATCTTAGGTTCCCTCTGCCCATTCTTCAAGTCTGAGGCACAGCAGAAGGCCTTGGCCGTGGGAGATGGGACAGAAGGCTGGGATTCCCAGCAGCCCACACCACACTGCAGTGGGCCGGCTTCCACGGGTCATTTGATGAAGCTGTTGCCATAACAGAGAATACAGCTAGTGCCAGCTAGTCTTGATTCTACCGCTGTCCTGAGAGGTCTGGTCCATGCTATCTGAGAGGAGGTCACCTCTTTCCTAGTGAGACATGGTGCCAGCCTCGGAGTCCAGACAGCATCCTCTCCGGTACTGGCAGTGGCCAGCCTCCTACCCCAGTGATTCAGCCTCCACCTAGCCTTGGACAACAGCCTCTTTTTTATCTGTCCAACTTGTTTTGATTTCATTTGAATTAGGATTTCACATTGTAGCCAGGCTACCTTGAGCAATCCTCCTGCCTCAGCCTGTTTGCATACTGGGATTACAAGTGTGAACTCCCACACTCAGCATATAGGAAACTTCTGTAGGCTAATGTCTTCAGGCCCTCCCAATCTGTCTTGACAGGAGGCCACAAAGGAGGTCCCCAGGTTCACGATTTGATACTTGCCAGGCCCCTATCTGGTAACCAACCAGATCCACAAGAAGGGGCAGGAAAGTCAAGAAAAGGATCCCTGGGTCCCTTTCTCTGGAGTACTAGGTTAGCACAGATATGCAGGCTAGTGTAGACCCAGGGTAGGCAAACATCCCACTTGGTTGAGGTATCTGAACCTTTTAGCAGCTGCTCTAAGCTGGGCCTTTAGAAGATGAGCAAGGCTTCTGGAGGGGCAAAGAGGGCTATTCCTGGGATCAGTAGATACCTAGCTTCCAAAAAAGCTGTGATGCCCCAAGTTATACCTCGGGGCCGCAGAGTAAAGGTCTAGAGGCCGGTGGGTGTTTTGAGCCAAGGGTCTGTTAGTAAGCAGAAGCAGGGGCCGCCAGAGTCTCCTGGGAAAGAACAAGGGCTGGACACACAGGGAAATACCGGGGTGATATGGGGTCCAGGGCATCACTGCCCTACAGTCTGTGAGGCCAGGCTCCATCGGAGATAGGATGGTCTTAGGTGAGCCTGTGCGGGGATGAGCACTGTATCACATCTTGGTGGCTTCAGTGAAGTCACAGTCACCTCGGTGGTCATCAAGGCCCGGCGGCGGCGGTGGTGGCGGCGGGGGACACTGCTGGACAGCAGGCCTGCCTCGCCGGAAGCTGTGCAGAGAACGGCGTAGCGAGCCCAGGCGCTTCCAGAGCCGGAGCCTGGGCTCACTGGGGCTTACCGGGTGATGCGGCATGCACTCCCGGGCCCCTTGACGACCAGGGTCCAGCGCCGCGGGCTTACACAGCATCATGAAGAGCAGGCAAGAGGCCAACAGCAGAAAAATGCAGGCCAGGGCGAGGAGAACCGGCACAGGGTCAGCAGCCGGGGTGTAGGTCCCAGAAGTGGTCGGAGTCATGAGGAAGGTTGGAGGGCTGAGGAAGCTGGGGCCCCCTGTGCTCATGGTACCTGCAAGGGCAGGACAGGGAATCAGGGCAAAGCAGCTGCACCCCAGGCATGGACAGGTGAGACTTACCTGGAGTACACCAACGGGGGGCTGAGCAGTTACTCATGCTCCCACGAGGCTCTGGTCACAGGTCAGTACAGCGAAGCCCAGAGAGGCATCAGATACAGCCGATTCGTGATGGGCTGGGTCTGAACCCGGGGCTTCTTTCCGCTAAACCCCTGCCCCGTGGCTGTGGAGAACACAGCGTACTGAAAGCTTTCTGGCATTTTATAATTGGCTCTCAGCAATTGCCGTATAGTCTTAAGCCTAAAAACCCAAATTGAAGCCCGAATCTGCCAGGAAGCCACTTAATGAACCAAGAACAAGGCAGAGTATAAGGTGCTGTGGGTAGGTGGCTGGGGACCCCAGCAATGGTCCCCAGCCCTCTCTGAGTCACTCAGACACACTCGGGAAATATGAACCGTCAAGAGTTGACAGAGTGAGGCCGGAAATCTGCCCTGTGACATCATTCAACCTTCTAGACATTTCCATTATCCCTTCAGAGAATCCATCCTGTATGGGGAATGCTGTAGGCTGTCCTCATAGACAGAGGACCAGGCTAAAGTGGATGTCTGGGAGCTGGTGATAATGATTCCAGGGCCTTAGTGCAGGTAATACATAGCCAAAGAGAATAGATAGGCAGCTCCCAGAGCGGCCCTGGATGGCCCCCACAGCCTAAGCTGGCCCTTGGGGGACCTAAAAATTTTTGCCAGGCTCTTCAGGCTCCCCAACTGAGGCAAGAAAGTTTTTGAGTTTTTTTTTTTTTTTAAAGGCAAACATTCCTGCTATTTAAATATTGGCATCTAATTTGAAGTTGTTTGAAGCAAAGAAGAAAGACAGGTATTACAAAATGCCGGATAAACTTGATTCCAAAAGTTTTGAAATCCGTTTTCAAATATTGGAGGTGCGACACAGGCCAATCAAAGCATACAAATGGCCTCCGTCCAGCTGACGGGCCAGCATCTATGGCTTTTGAATTGCACAACCCAGTAGAGAAATCCAAAGGTCCAAGTAAAACTCTGAACTTAGAGACTCTGAACTTGAGTCCCACCTGAGGTGGAGGGAGAGCAGCTTCCTCCTTTCCAGGTAACTTTGCATCTCCCTCGGGCTCTGACACCAAATCCAGGGCCACAGAGGAGGCTCAGTTATGCCAAGGTCCTGCCTGCAGTTATGGGGAATCAGAGAGTATGACCACCCTGGCCCCTTAGCCCCTACAGCCCTTGTCCCAGGTGGGCACTCACCAGCAACTCCAGGACCTAACTCCTGGCTCCTGGGCACAGCTAACGGAGGGCATCCAGTGCTCTCCACCCACCTACCACCCATCTCTTACCCCAACCCCTCCCAGCCCTTGAAGCTGCTCCAGGCTGGAAATTCTGATGCTCGTCTAACTGCTCAGGGCCTCCACCCTTCAGGGCCTGGAAAGCCCTCTGAGTGGACAGCATTCACAGATCAGCCCTTCCCGGAGTCTGAGCTGGAGGAGGGACGGGGTATGCCCACTGCCATCCCCCATGGAAAGAAGCTAGCTGTCTCTCAGGACTTGGCCCCAGTAAGGAAAAGACAATCCCAGCTGAGAAGGGCTTCCGTCCCTACTAGCTCAGAAGCCAGAGAAGCGGTGAGGCTATCGGCCCCAGGGCCACTTCTGCCTGGGCATCCCAGCCACTCTGGTGGGTGGTAGTCAGGGACTCTGGGGTGCTTGAGAAGGGGCCCAGAGCTTGAGGCAAGCCCAGCTGCTGGATTCCCTCTTGTCAGCCAGCGAGAACAGCTGGTTCTGGAGGAAGTACTCCTAACCCCCGAGCATGGAGCCCACTTCCTACTGGAGCCCTCCACTGAAAATGCACCCCTCTACAAGCCCTCACTAGAACTTTCTTTCTTCCCTTGGAATCCCACAGAGGAAGTGTGACCTTGGCTTAGCCACTGCCCTGGACTGGGCCTCGTTTCTTCTCTCAGAGCAATAGAAGGACTCCCCAAATCTGAGCACACCTTCACGTCCTCCCAAGTTCCCGGTCAAAGTCTCCCCCGACTTCCTTCACTGGCTTCCTCTACAGTCCTTCAATACCGGCCTCAGGCCTACCCTTGGAGGTCTGCAATCTCAGTGGCAAGGTCTCTCAGCTGTCCCAGGAGGTCCAAGGTGTACCAGCCGGCTGTGTCCCTATGTATTACGGGGGCCTGCCACCGGCTGGCTTTCTCCCGGGCTTTTCCTGCTGAGACTGGTTTCGTTGGGAGAGTCCTGGCCTGCAGGGGGGTGAGGTGGGGGGACACCACTGGGGGCGAGCGTAGGGATGGCAACTGAGTAGGAAGAAGGAGAGGGGAGGCTCCCGCGTGGCTCACTCCAGCCTGTCTCCCGGGAGCCCTCCCATGTGTAGAGGAAACACTGGTGAGAGCAGGGGGGCGGGTTTAACTGCCTCGTGGGCCCGGGGCTCCCACCATCCCCCTTGGAAATTTGAATGGTATGGTCGACTATTCAGTGCCTGCCAACCTCCAGGTTACCAGGGAGAGGGTCTCTTAGCAGAGAGACAGCAGAAGGAGGACAACCGGAGTGATGGGCTCTACAGCACGCCCCCCCCTCCCCTGCAGGGTCCCTATGCCTCGTCTTCCCGGGATTCCCAGAAGAGCGTCCCTTTTAAGGCCAGAAGGCTGCAGAAGTGAGGGCCAGGAGCATTTTTCAAATTTCAAAACGCTGGACCGAGGGACAGCCAAGGACAGGCCACTCACAGTTTGAGTGGAGTACTGGGTTCTCTCCAACCCTCCCCCACAACCCTCCTTTCCTCTAAGAATCCCGAACTCCCCTGGCAACCAGCTGCCTGCCGAGGGGCCCAAGTTGTGGGCTGCATCTCTACCAGGGGGCTCCAAAGTCTCAGAAGGCATCATGGTAGTAGTCACAGCTACATCTAAGGCCTATAGCCCTTCACCACAAAACAAAGCCTTGTCTCCCTACCCTGAGGTAGACAAGAGCCTTCCAGTGTACTATTAAACATGGAGTGAGCCTTGGTGACCCAGCACAGCCCCTCCCAACAGGTGACAAGGCTGTGCTCCAGGTAGGCAGAGCCTGCCCAGAGTTAGCCAAGGAGTTAGCACTGGGTAGGAACCCGGTGTTTCCCTAATGAAAGGACAAGAGCCCTTGCCACAGACAAATGAGGGCCCAGTCTCTCTGCTGACTCGATCTTTGCAAGGATAGAGGACCCCCTCTTTGGTCCTTCTCTCTCTCTGGAAGTGTGTGACCCATGAGTGAAGATAGAAAAGTTTGTGTTAGAGCTTTGAGCACCAAGTCACAAAAACCTGATTTGAGAGTCGTGTGGTGATGGTGCACGCCTTTAATCCCAGCACTCGGGAGGCAGAGCCAGGCGGATCTCTGTGAGTTCGAGGCCAGTCTGGTCTACAGAGTGAGTTCCAGGAAAGGCACAAAGCTACACAGAGAAACCCTGTCTCAAAAAAAAAAAAAAAAACAAAAAAAAAAACTGATTTGATCACTGTGGCCAAGAGAGACGTGTGCTAGAGCAACCCTGGAATACCCACAGGATCACGGGGAAAGTCAAGTGGAAACCCAGGTGCAGCTGAGCGTGCAGCATATTGGGGACCAGGAAACTAGACATTTCAGTGCTGTGTGTTGCATGTGACTTTTATCTGGGCTCACTCAGGGTCAGCTCAGTGTCTCTCACTAGAGACGCCACTCAGTCATTTACATCTCCAATCAACACATATATAAAACGTTGGGTTGTGGCGATTCAGTCCTGTAATCCAGCACTTGGGTAGTGGAGGCGGGGAGATCAGGAGTTCGAGGCCAGGCTGGACTACTTGAAATTTAATCTCAAAACAATAACACAAAACATAAACAGCCCTCCTATGTGCCGGGGACTAGTGACATGGCAGTGCACACACCTCTTTCTCTTTTGGGGGGACAGTGTAGAGGGAGACAAGAACATATTCACTCAAGGTAGAATACTGACAACAAACCCAAGAAATGATTTACCCAAGTTCTCCTTGGTGAACTATAACTATATTAGGGTTACTTATAGGAGCATAAATGACTCAAAAACAGTTGCATCATCAAAAAACTCACCATGGGTGACGACTCCCAAAGATGTAGCCTCCCACCTAATTTTTAAGCAGCTCCACCCAAGAGTCTCTTCAGTAATTACTGTCCACTGAAAAAAACGGTTTTCCTGCCCAAGGCTGACAGCAGTGATAATCTATGAATATAATGTAAATGCCGGGGAGGCAAGTTGATGAGAGCATCACATCCGTTGAACAGAACAACAGCTGTGGCCTTGCTACTAGGGCCTGTGACCTTCCCAGCCATGAGGTGTCACCCTAATTTATAGTGCCAAAGATGAGTTCTGCCCTGTGGCATGGTCCTTAAGTCCAATAGAAAAGCACCTATAACAGCCGTGCCACTATTACCCCAGAGGGCACATTTTGCCGGCCATGTAGCCCCTCTAGGGTCCATAACAGAGCAAGATTGTGACTTCTCTCTTAACAGACTGCATAGTGCCATGTTGCACTATAAAGTTCAGCCAGCAGGGAAGGAGCTCCCAGCTCTGTCCTGGCTGGCTTTCTTCAACCAACATGTGTCGTATCTTCAACAACAAAGATGTACCACCTAACGCTGGCATGCAACCAACAGCAATCACAATAGCCTATTTGATGTGGGGGTTCCCGGGGGCCTCTCTGGCCCACAACTCATCCAGCACTGGGGTAATTCATCATTATGGCTTCTGGGCATGCCCTTTTCCACCTATGTGGTTGACCTTCATTTCGGACTCTTTGGTTGCTATCTTTACTGTTATTCCAGATGTTTTTTCCAAATCTGGGAGACACTCAGGATTGGCATGATACAATGAGACTTTTTCATAGAGGATGGGCAGGCTCTCTGGAGCCCCATGACTATCCACTGTAAACAAGCATCAGTGGTTGTGTGGTTTAGCAGCTTGGGAGACACCAAAAGAGTGTTAGCAAGGTCCAATGCATCATGGGAAGATCTTGTCACTATTTTTCACTTTTTTCTTCAAAAAAACCCAAAGAGTGATGTTGGACACCACATCTTGGGTGGGGGCTCTACCCTTTCTGTTGCTCCAGAATGCACAATTGTCCTCCATAAACCACCCTATCTCCTCATCCTGGGGCCCTGACATGGGGTTGCCATGTGTTTCCCTGCCCATGATGGCCCTGATGGGGATAGGTTGTGACTCTTGACTGAACTGGCAATGAAGGGTGGATGGGGTCCATGTAGTCATCTGCCATGCCCGCTAAAGGACTGACTGTCTGATTCTGGATCAGTACCCTGGTCACATTCCATTGACAACACCCAGTTACTGAAAGGTACTGAAATCTAAATGAGGTTTTCAATACAGAATCTCATTCTGTAGTCCAGGCTAGCCTAGAACTTGCTATGTAGACCAAGCTAGCTTTAAAATTGTGGGCTGGAGAGATGGTTCAGCCGTTAAAGGCTAGGCTCACAACCAAAAATATAAAATTATGACAGTCCTCCTGGCCTTGCGTGTGATGCTGGGATGGCAGACGCATGCCACCCCTCCGGCCCAGTACCCTTTCTTGAAGCGGGAAATGCATACAGCTTATTCTGAAACGATGGCTGCCCACTCATTGGACGGTCTTGTCTTCTTTACCTATTTCATTCCATCATTTACTCCTTCCTTCTCCTCTCCCATTAAGCCTTCTAGAAGCTCTCTGGCACAGCCTCCGCCCTCTGTCGATATTTTCCCTAATGCGTTTGGCTCAGCACCGATCTTACCTCATTTGCTGTCTGAGTGACCTGGTGAGACCCCTTTGCCCCCCTCTCATCCCCTCACCCTTGCCCGAATGCCTGACAAAGCCAGTGGACACGTTGGTCTAAATCATCTAAATCCACCAGAGCCTTTCCCGTAGCGTAAAGGTCACGCACGCTCCACCAGGGAGCTCAGCGAAGATACCCGAGCCCCAAGCCCAGCCCTAGGTAAATCAACTTCTTTTGTAACTCTCCGGCACACACAGTGCTCAAAGCCACAGACTGACCATCAGTCACCACCTCCCA